CCCATGACTTCTTTGGCATGGCATGCCAACACTAATCAATGTTCCCTTAACTTCAGCCATCCCCACTCCACCTTCGCAATTTTTGTCATACTGGGATAGTCACTGTATTCTTGAATACTTGCCTCATCCTCTTAAATTGGTTTTGTAAATCTGAATAAGATTTATTTCAATGGAAGCAAATTGTTTTGAAATCACTAACATGAATTCATATATATTATCACCACTAGATATAAAAATAAATGTAACATAAGTGCAACATAGTGTTATCAAATTTTACAGATGTAATCCAAAAGAAATAAAATTGAATAGAAAAGGATAACTTTCTCACATTGATTCAATAGTAAAAATCGCTGTTTTCCAGTACCACTTAAAATCATGTGTAGCAGTGTCAGCTGTATATGCCTTACGTTTTGGGAAAAATGGAACTAAATGGCTAATGATACAGTACTGTGATGTAAGTCAAATTACAGCATAGACTACCAAATTCAAATTACTAACCCTTGGGGCAGGATTCATGAAGCATGAAGAAAGTGTGCCCTAGATTCTTGGATAGCAAGATCCTACTATGGGGTAATACTTCTCACACAATCAGAGGCCATTTTCTTCAAACAGCAAAGAATCCATGAGCAGAGAAAACAAATGAAAGTACAGGCATTGAAACATATACATTTCACCACCAGCAGTTCTGAAAACAGCTTCAGAACCAAATTCTAAACCCATATGCTTTCTGTAGACAAAATGTTAACAGCATATTCAGATTTTAATTTAATTTTAATCTACTCCAATCATTCTTTAATCTACACTCAGGGCACACCTACTTTCTCTTTTCCCATATATATTTTAGCCATTTACCTGCTTTAAAAAAATAGTAATCTACCACGTTTGGACACGAGACGCATGTCACTACCCTCAAGTCTCACTGGGCTCATACAGAAAGCAGGGCCTTGTCCCATTCCACGAAACACAGCCAAGCAGCATCTGAAGGGGCCTGCCCAAAGTCAACTGTGTGCTGATGGCAGAGCCAAGGTCCAACCCAGGGTCCTCTCTGCCAGCACATCTAGTCATTCTGAGGACTGAACCACACGCACCGTTTCCCATCCCAAGCCTCCCTACTTGTACCTCAGAAAAAATCCTCACGGCCTAAAGAATCCACATGTGCGGCCCTCTTTTCCTCTTTTTCCCTAACCTTGGTTTTCTACTCTCTATTCTAATGTAGCACACTCCTCTTGACTTTGTGCCTGAAACATCAGAAAACACAGCCGCTAAAGTCAGTGTTTGGAGGTCTTGGCAGTCCCTCTTGGTCCAGGAATTGAGCCTGTAAAAACTTCTCATTTACAAACTTCTTTAGAGAGAAACACAAAACTTGTCTTTTCTCCCTCATTTGAGTAAGGAAATATCAGGAAAGGTCTAATTTTGCTTTTGGGACCAAAGCAAACTTGGCTTAAGGCGGCTCCAGCATCTTACACTTTAACCAGGAGTACCCAGAAGATCTCCCACCATCCACATGGGAAGGCACAGGGTCACCCAAGGCAGAGCCAGTGTGGTCCGTGACCACATGGTGCTGCTGAAGGAAAGTGGGAAGCAGATTGGAAGGTAGTGACATCTAAGTGCTTGCTACTCAGTGTGGTCAGGGGACCAGCAGGACTGGCATCCCGGGGAGTTTCTCAACAATGCAGAGTCTCACTCCAGTCCTACTGCATCAGAATCTGCATTTTAACAAAATTCTCAGATAATTCCTTCATCCTGTGGATTAGAGGGGTCTGATACCAAACACCTTACCTTCCTCTTCCATGGTCAAAGCAATGCTTTTTTGGAAAACTGAGAACTAAGAAAACCAATGAAGGTCCTATCATGACCATGGCCAGCTCTGGTTATAAGCCTGTTACAACCTGGGGGCTGGATAGGGACCCAAAGAAACAGCCTCTGATCAGAGAGAGTGGGTGCCCTCAGCTGGGGTGACAGAAGACCAGAGGCCTGAACAGGCCTCCTGGCACCAACTCCAAACTCTTACAAATGTACCTGCACAAAGTCGGGTTATCACATTGCCTCTCAACCTGAAGGCTCTATGACTTTCATTTACCTACTCAGTTGCCTGGGATATTCACATTAATGTGATTTTTATCTGTCTCAAAAATGAGAAAGGAAGCACAGTGAGATCTGCCTGACCTGGAAAAGGCCTACACTCCCTGTTCCTGTTGGTTATAGTAAACGGTGACCTCGTTCTGCTCTGTCATTTGTGCAGTTTCTTTTTTGTTTTTGGTACAAACTCAAGGAAATCCCTGAAACTGCCCGTTCTCCATGTTGTCTCCCCCTCTGGTCCTCACACACACACACACACACACACACACACACACACACACACACCACACACATCCTCATAATACTGAGCCAGAGCAAGGTTCTGAGTATGACAGAAGGGAACAGTTAACTCTCCCTCATCATTTCAAAAAAGCAAACTTGGCTTGGTAAAAGATCTGCAGGATCCTTCAGGAGACTCCAACTCTTGCAGAAGGGAAAGTTGAAAATGAGGGGGTGGAAGAAAAGTAGAATAGGTATCTTCAAGGAGTGGAAACACTTTTGTGTCCTGACACTGACTCTAGTGAAAGCTTAGCTTCTTTTATCAACGTGCTGGAAGGTAAAAATGGACACATGAGAAGAGGCGTGGAGCCCTTCTTCCTTGCTATGAATGTTTGAAAAAAAAAGAGCTGATGTGGGAACTGGTAAACTGGTGGCTGCCCAGTGCTGGCTTCCCACAGAGCATCCCACTAGAATTAATCATTGGCCTGGGAACTTTGGAGTTCTGGTTTCCTTCCTCCCAAATAGCTGAAGCCAATACTTCCCCTCTTTTTCAAGTATTTCTGGACCCCTGCTTATTTTTCCTTTCTAATGCCAATTTCAAAATTGCTATCTTATTTCTTCAGATTTTGTGATTTCAGTGACCATTTTACAAAGTCACTGCTTCCTTGCAGAGTTAACAGCTGGTCATTCTTCATAACTGAGATGACTGCTAAGACAAGAGAGTTGTTTTATTTACAACACACACCTTAGATAAGTACCATACAGGATAATCTCTGGGCAGTTCTAGCCAGGCAGGCCTCCAATGCCCACCCCACTCCACACTCCAGTGGAAGGGAAGCTGCTCACCAACAAGCCTCTGTGCTAAGGGGCGGGACCACACTTGGTACTGATTGCCACCCACCTCCTAGGACAGCTGATCTTTAGGGTGGCTAGTTACTAGAGACTATGTCTTATGGTTGGCATAAAAAAATAAAGTTTGGCCAACCATGACTGAGAAATTTGTAACTGTCAAACAGACACTATGCCAGGGGCAGAAGCTAACAAGTCCATAAAAAGTTGGGGCAGGAGAGGTCATCACAGGCCAGTTCCAAGACAGCAGATCAGTGAGGAGGGAAAAACAGAACATTCACAAACAGAAGTAGACACACCACAAGACAGGCCATGAAACTCCCAGGATGGTGTCAAACACGAGCTCAGTGCAGATAGTTTTGGTGTGTTAGTTCTATCCCATTCTTACAACCAAATGCACTTTACCTAAGCAGATCTGGGTTCCCTGACACCAAATAAGCCACTCCAAAACAAGCATCCTCCTCCCCTAAAAATTTTCTTTTCACTTTTCCCAGTACCTTCAAGGTAAAAAATAAAATTTTCATGAAAAATAAAAGTAGATACCATGTCAAGATCATGTGACTTGGCCAAAAGACAATTTCTAATGGAAGTAATGTGATAGATGACAGCAATTTGAAAGTTACTAAAAATTAGAGGGGAGGATGAATCATTTTTCTTCACCAAGTTTTTAATCAAGCACCAATGATCACTGCTGCTTTTTTATTTTTTATATACATATTTTATTTTAAAGATGCAGGGTACACTTCAGGATTAGGTATATAAGTGGACATCATACGGGTAAAGTTTGGGCCTCCCTTTGGTCCCCACTTTGTCTGGTTTGAGATCAGGTATTCTTATTGATGTTGTATCCCCCACTGTTGCTTTATAACAATGATCCACAGAAGAATACTATATCTGGATCCTGGGGTTTCTGTGGAAGATATCAGATTGAAATATACAGATCAACAGCTCATTGAAAAGAAACTTACAGATTTTACAGGAAAGCAAAAGCAAAACACAAAACAAATCAGGCATGTAATATAAGAGAAATAAGATAATTATCCATTTTATAAATAATTCAGACTATGTGTGGGCCTACCTTGAGGCAATTATACCAGGGTCCTTACAAAATCTGAACTGCATCACTAGACAGGACCACAGGGAGCTGCCATTTCAACTTAATAAATCAAATATGCTATAACACATAGAGAGAGCCCACTCAGAGAGCGCTCCATGGGGTATAAAACTCAGGGTTAAGCCAAAGTAAAGTGTTTTTGGGTGCCCCATTAAGATACCTATTAGAATGTTCAATAAAAATGAGTCAACATAATAGTGAAATCTAGAAATCAAAATAAACTCACAAATACACCAGACAAACTGAAGTGGGCAAAACCACCACTGTCTAATTAGAAATAAAATGACAGAAGATGTCTGAACAGCAAGCAGGTCTGCTCACTGCAGACAGAGCACACCAAGCAACTGGGTCACAGCCAGGTGAAACCAACCCTTTCTCAGGACAGGTTTTCCCTGCCTCAGCAGCATCAAGTGCTGGACAAGTGACCATTCCACCAGCCCTTGACGTCCTGTTCAGTAAAATGAGTGGGTGAGGTTAAATAATTTCCCAGCCCACTCAATAACACTAAGAATCAGACAGAACTTACTTGGAGAAAGCTATTTTCTAACAATGGTGTAAGAAATTTCTTTCGGCAAATACTTCAAAAATGGCATTGATTTCACCCCAAAATTCATACATAGTTTTCCCATAACTATCAGTTAAAGCACCTCCCATAACACGTATCCAGTTACATTTATTTCCTAAAACACCCCCAGCATCTGAAGGGACAAATGGATAATCTAAGCAGAATCTCTCTTACCATTTCGAGACACATCTAGTTCCACCAGCTGCATGAAGTTTGCTATTTCTGGAGGGAGCCGCTGAATTTCATTATCACTAAGTCCAAGCTTTCGTAATTTGACTAGCTGGAAAAATTGCTGAAAGACAAAATAGTTTCACACAGATTTGACATATATTTGCATTGTAAAATGTGGGGTAGTATGAAATTTAAAACAATGTCTTTTTAAAACTAATAAAGATTGTACCAATGTCAATTTCCTGATTTTTGATAGTACACTGTAGTCATATGAAGATGTTACCATTGGGATAAACAGGGTACAAAGAACCTCTCAGTACTACTATTTTTGCAACTTCCTCTCAATCTACAATTATTTCAAAATAAAAAGTGTTTTTAAAATTAATGAGAAACTTAATGAGACTAGAAATCATTCCTTTAAGCTCTCCAGGAGATAATCACATCATCTACTCACGGAAATCGACATTAAATCTGCAAAGTCAAATAAACATGTGAAAATTAAAATAAACCATTAAAAAAATCATTTTAAGAGGAATTAAATATAACAAATATCCCACAAATGTAGGTAAGTAAAATAAATACTTCTGACCAATCTAAAAAAGAGTCTGCACTGGATACTTCAATTAACCATGGCAGATTGAGCACATACTTTTATCCCCATACTCTTTTTAAAAAATGTGCTAAATGACACTAAAGGAATTTATATAGAGATGGACATAAACATAAAAATACAAAATAAACCCATGAAGACAATTAAAGAGGGGGGGGGGACAAAAAGCAAACTTAGATATGCAACAAAATCCTTGAAGTTAGACAACAGATGGGTGAATAGTAACTAATAAAAGAATCCAAAGAAGCTGAAATGTAAGCCTGTGGGGTGAACAGCCAATAAGAAATTGGGTTCAAGTACCTCTGAAGGAAGGAAGACTAGTTGAAAATTTATATAAGGCACAGTTAAAGCCCTTATTTTCTTTTCCACCCAGCAAAGCCAGGCAGGAGCCTAGAGATTCCCTCTCTAGAAGACTTGAGCTCAAGCACAGCTGAGAACAGGGATGAAATAATCCTGCTAAAAACAGAAACCAATCAAAGCCTGATCAGTGAGATCCTATCCTTCCTACTCCCCCGAGTCAGACCCCCAGCACGTACACAGACCTACAGATATGATCATTCTACAGAGAAGCTCTGGGTTATAAGCCTTACCCACACACGATCTTTCAAAGAGGCCCACCTCACCTCTGGTGCCTTGAATCTTTAGACAGAATCAAGATTCTGTAGACACTTGAGGAAAGCCCATAGCATGCAAAAAAGTATACTTTGTGCGTGTGTGTGTGCGTGTGTGTGTGTGTGTGTGAGAGAGAGAGAGAGAGAGAGAAAGGAAACACACCTCAGAAGAAACAAACATAATACCGGGAGCAGAAAAAAACTTCATCAACCAAAAAGTATAATTAATATCTTCAGAGAAAACAGAGAAGATGAAGCAGCGTGCCATAAAAAGCAAGATTAGAAGAATTAGAAATCAGCTCTTAGAAATTAAAAAATGTTGTAGTATAATAAAAGAATCCCATAAACAAGGTAAAAAAAAAATAAAGCCAATAAAATCCCTCAGAAGGTAGAATAAAAAGACAAAAAGATAAGGAAGTGGGAGAAAAAAGACAGGAAGACTAAAGGATCTATTCACAAAGTACTATATCCAAGTAACTGTAACTTAAAGGGAGAAAACACAGAGAAATGCAGGACATGCTTTTCTGGTTTCTAAAGGGCCTATAAAATGAATGGAAAAGACATATATCCAGAAATACTATAAAATGTCAGAAATCCAGAAATGAGAAGATTCTAACAACTTCCGGAGACAAGAGGGAAAGAAAGGAAAATGGTCATAACAAAGAATTGGGTATAAGAATGGCACTGGACTTAAGAGCAACCTTGAAAGTAAGAAGGCAATACAGCAATTCCAAGAAATCATTTATTCCAACCTAAAATTCCATACTCAGCCAAACTATCAGTCGTGTATTATGACAGAATAAAGACATTTTCAGTCACACGTGGTCTTAAAAAGTTTATCTTCCTTGCACCTTTCTCAAGAATCCATCAAAATGTGGAAGTAAATTTAAAAGGAAAAAGATCTGAGAACTAAGAAATAGAGAATCAACAAGACAGAAAAAGACAAAGGACATTCTTAGGATAAAATCGTGAATGGAATTCTAAGATGTCAACAGAGCATCAGGCACTGAGAGCAACCTGTTCCAACTACAGCAAAATAATGAAGGCTCCCAGAGAAGTTTTGAAAATAAATAAATAAAAACACAGCTGAGGGATTATCTGATGAGTTTGGAAGTATCAAGAGGAGATTTACAACTATGTCAGAATATTTGGTGATAAATGAGACCTAGGAATAGAGAAAACAAAGCAAGCAAAAAGGGAGTTATTAATTCCAGGAAAAATATAAAGTAAAATAAATAATTATAACTATATCATCTGACTATTAACAATATTTACAGTCATAATATTACAATATGTATATTGACATAACCAAAATATATGTTATATCAATATTTAGAGAATGGGAAAGAAACTATAAGAGCTAAATCTAAAGGAAATCAATAAATAACTGTGAAGAGGGGGGAAAAATCAAGCTGTAAAAACAAGCCACTTAGCAATACAGAGGCAAACACTGGTAAAAATAGTCAAGAGCTGGGGTTCCCAAAAGCTGGAGGGAGGCAGGAGGAGACAAGAGACTTCCGCTCTCAACTGCTACACAACACAGCTTATTGGAGTTTTGTGTGTGTGTGTGTGTTTTTAACTATTTGCATATATTACTTTGCTAAAAACAAAAACTGAATTTACAAAGGAAAAAGTCTCTACTGAGATTACAGAATGCTCTAAATGGTAATTTTATAGGATGCTAACATTTAATAGGCTTCATCTTTTTTTAATTGGTAAGAGCGAATGCATATTTAAATAATCATGCAAGAAGGCACCGCCTTTTGAACAGCAATTGGGCAATACCCAAAAGAAAAAAAAAACTTTTCAAGGCCACTAACATACTTCTGGGCATATTTTCTCACAATATAACTGAAAGGAATACACAAATATATCTTTGCATTATTTATGTGGTGAAAATTAAAAATGTAAAAACAAATAAAAACAAATATTATAAAGACCATAGAACTTGAAGGAGATTTACAATGCAAATATAACTAAAAAAGAAAACAAAATTGCAAGTACACAACATAAAAAAGCAGGTGTGAATGGATAAGAAGGGACCTGGGAGGAAAATGCAGTTGTTAGGTGACTAGGATAATACATTAATGAGTTTTTTAAATTTTTTTCATATTCTTTTTTGAGTTGGAATCTCACTCCATCACCCAGGCTGGAGTGCAGTGGCATGTTCACAGCCACCCCAGTGTCGACCTGCTGGGCTCTAGCAATCCTTCCGCCTCAGCCTTCCAAGTAGCCAGAACTACAGGCACGCACTACCGTGACTGGTTAATTTTTGATTTATTGTAGAGATGAGGTCTCGCCAAGTTGCCCAAGCTGGTCTTGAACCCGTGGGTTCAGGCGATCCACTCACCTTGGCCTCCCAAAGTGCTAGGATTACAGGCTGAGCCACCAAGCCTAACCAACAGATATTTTAAAGTAAAAAGAACTATGAATCTCAGCTAATGAATGCTACCAATTAGCTATATATGATAATGAAGAAAGTGTTCAACAAAAGAACTAATCCTTTGGATTTCTTTAATCAAACAGTTGAGATTTAATTTCTTAAGGAAAGATATTGAAATGTCTCTATAACAGCAGTACTAAAGCATTAGCTAACACAAAAGCCATAAAAGAGTCACATATTTGAATAATTAAGCTTATGCCAATTGTTCAAAGAGTCTGACAGTTTCATAATACATCGATGTGTTTACTCAAGCATGAAAAGCTCATTTTGTTTTCCAGGAAAGGCATCATAGAAAACTACAAAATCCATCACGATTTCCATACATTCAGGGACCATTCAGAAATAATACAAGAAATCAAATCAATAAGGTACTTAAATCCACAGTGAATAGTAATTTAGCTTTATGTCTATGGAAACGATAGCCTACAAATCCTCACATCCAAAAGAAGTCATAACAGCAAGCAAATGTAAGGCTTGGTTCTGCATATTAAAAGCATCCTCTACTAGAGCCTGTCACAATACTCAACTTGGGAAGCGCACACCAGATGTAAAAGCAACCCTATCTGACATGAGCAAAACGAAGCCAGTAATTCCTCAATCCTTTTCCCTCATTATCCTGATGTGATCTTAATATGGTGTCTGAAGATTGACACAAACTATATTAAATTCTCAAATTTTCAACTTCCCCAGATAGGGAAAAAAACTCAATGAGCTATAAACCCTTTTGCCTCGCTTTTGAGATCAGTCAGGGCACAGGGAGAACAATTTGTGGAGCTATCTTGGCAGGGAGCCTCAGCACAGAGCAGTCACATGATAGAGCACACAGACACCATTCTTCAGCTCTACCATGTTTGATTATAGCTCACTGACCCACTTAGAGCACATTGTGTACAATTATATGCAAAAAACCCAAATTGCCTTGGATTGTTATGCCACACCAGTCTTCTTATAGGCACCATTGCTTTCAGTAGATACAACTTTTAATTTAGCTAAACAAAATGTTTCTTTTTCCCATTCTTCATTTCTGACAAGATTCCTTTTTCTTCTTTCTTGGTCAAGTGTTAGTACCTCCCTTCTGCTTTTTAGAAAGAGACAATGGAAATCTGTCGTAAAAGAACTGTGTCCCTTTTTATTATATGGTCAAGAGTTGGCCAATTGTCCCCTAGCTCCCCAAACTTCTCCTGCATAGTGTACAGAAAACATAAACCGCTGTTTCAGATTCACTTGGGGGACAATAGCATAAAGCATGTAATAGACTCTTGAAAAACTGTGTAGACTCCTAACCACAATATCAAATTTACTCACAGATTTCCCTTCTGAAGACAGTCTAAACCATCACCTAAATATTGACCCCTTTCCATCCTTTATAACTGTCATGACAACAATATTCTTATGCTCAGAAGAATTATTCATAAAGGCCACTCCCAGCCACTGTAGCCGCAACCTGCTGGGCTCGGGCGATCCTTCTGCCTCAGCCTTCCAAGTAGCTGGAACTACAGGCGCGCGCTACCACGCCCGGCTAATTTTTTGATTTAGTATAGAGATGAGGTCTCGCCAAGTTGCACAGGAGGGGCTTGAACCCGCGGGCTCAGGCAATCCACTCACCTCAGCCTCCCAAAGCACGGGATTACAGGCTGAGCCACCGAGCCTGGCTTATGCTTTATTTTATACGATTTTTTTTTCTAATTTTTAGACTACTTACTAATCAGGAAAGAAAATACTAATTTACACCAAGGATATCAAATTCTTAAACTTATCTGAGTTAATAATAATGAAAAGCAAGTTGATCCAGCAATCCCACTACTAG